AGGAGGGGAGGAGGGAGGTGGGCCGCCCACAGGTAAAGTCTAACGCCTGGAGTCTGAAACAGTGGGAAAGAGCCCCGTTTGGATTAACTGAACACATTCCCGGACTGCAAATCCCCTTTTCTGAAAGCATAAACACCCAAGAAGGCAGATGTAAAATCTGAAGGACTTTGGCCTCGGGGAAGTCGTGTATGTCACTTGTGTAAATAAGACCACACTGCCTTAAAAATAATCCACAAGGCGGGAACAAAATACTTTCGTTGTTATAAAACTGGACTAAGATTGCATTTTTTTTCCGTGAAATTACTTTTCAGAGTTCATAAATATACCTTATGAAAAGGAAGGAAATAGCATTCACAAGATAGAGTACAACATTTTTTTGGATTATTTATGCTTTTTTGTGTGTCTGATTCTGAACCCTTTGAAGAACTGGAAGACTATAAAGTAAGTCGAATGATTTCTTTCCAAGAAACATCAAATAAAACTCCAGTTTCAGAGAGACAGAATTCTTTACCACAGTTCCCAAATGCCAAGAACCTTCTTTTTCATGTTTTCTGTAACTGAAAGTTATTTTCCATAAGCCTGCGTGATCTCCAGTTGAAAATATCCAAAATGGAAGCAAGCCTTGCCCAGTGTGAGGTTAGTTAAAGGAGGAGCCCCATTGCCCATGACTCAGAGAGGGAAGAAAATGTGACCCCAAATCTGCTCATCACAGACTCAAGTTCTCGGGGGTGGGGGGGTGTCAGTATTTGAAACACTGACCTGTGTTGATTAATCAGACAGCACGAAGCCACCTAGTCTTGCCCCTGGAGGCTGGCCTCTGTCCCCACCGTGGTCGGTGCCCGGCTCCTTCAGACCTGCGTGGCCCCGGGCCCAGCCTGTGGTCAGCAGATGACAGGAAACCTCCTCAGTCAAGTCACATTGTCCTCATAAGTGTCTGGTGATACACCACCCTCTCCTTCCCTAACACTGCTACCTATGAGGTTGGGGGCTGCTCTGGACATTTGTCCCTGTGTGTATTTATGCGCTCAGTGTGTGTGTGCCTGGATATGCCAGTATGGTGGAGATTGGGAGGGACAACCCAGTATTTACTGGTCGTCTTCACTGTCCCTGAAATTTTCATGCACTTTCTTCTTCAATGCCCATGTCAGTCTCCAAAGGTAAGGATTCTTGAGGCCCAGATACATCAGGAATATATTAGTTTTCTAGGGCCGCCATAACAGTTTACTAAAAAACTCGGTGGCATAAAACAACAGAAGTTTACTCATTCACAGTTTTAGAGGCCAGAAACCCAAAATCAAGGTGTCCGCAAGGCCGTGCTCCCTCGGGAGGCTCCGGGGGAGAATGCTTGCTTGCCTCTTCCAGCCTTGGGCGTTCCAGGTGCCCCTTGGCTTGTGGCGGCCTCCCTGCCTCTGTCTTCATGCGGCCTCCTCCTCCGGGTGTGTCTCTCCTCGTCTGTCTCCTACCAGGGCACTTGTCTTTGGATTTAGGGCCCTCCTGAATAATCCAGGATTGTCTCATGTCAAGATCCCTGACTTAACTATATCTGCAAAACCCCACTTCTCAAATAAGGTCACATTTACAGGCTTGGCGGGGGGCGGAGGGGGCGGGCAGGGGGGTGTGGTTAGAGTCTTAACTTATCATGGGGAGGGGGGGCTACAATTCAATATTACTCTGAGGGGTAATATTTGACACTTATTGGCAATTAATGTGCCCCGGCACTGTTTTAGTGCTTTGTCTGAATGATCTCCTTCAGTCTTCGTAGTAGCCCCAAGAGGCAGGTACAAAGTATTGTTCCCATTTTTGCAAGTGATACCAAAGCGTTGAGAGGGGAAATAAGTCTTCGGATCACTCATATAGAAAGGGCCAGAATCTGGGCAGTGGTGAGAAGCCCAGGTGGCCCTGCCTGGCTCTCAGAGCTCACACATGGCTGCACCCCCTCCTAGCCAAAGCCTTCATTTCACCCCCTTCTGTCATCATGCTCGCTGACATCCACATCCAGTCAGATGGACCGTACCCCTCCCTCCTCTGGTGGCCAGTGCGGGTCTCCACGGGGGCCCATTCCTGCAGTGACACCTGGACCCCCTCATTCCTCTCGCCCTCAAATCTGGATTCCCAGCACCTCTCCCTATCCTCCCCGCCCTGCAACTCAAGCTGCCCCCGGCTGCCCGTTCCTCGCCTTCGTCGGGAATTTGAACGCACTGAGCCCCCACGCGCTACCCCGGGCCTCCTCCCGGCTTCCCTCTCCTCCCTGTCCAAGCTCTGCTCCTTGGCTCGTCCTCCATGCCCCAGTGTGAATCCCTCAGCAATTCTACCTTTCTCTCTTTTGTCACAGCCCCTTGGCCAAATCCCAGCCTGGGAGGAGCCCTCCCATCTCTCTTCTCCGTGCCTGCCCCAGAGCTGTTGACTGGTGTTAGAGACAAGCACACAGCAGGCCGGCTGCCTTGCTTTAAATTCATGGTCTCAATCTGCACGTCGGCCCGGTATGCTGCGGGGTAAGCCCCCTGTTCTATCAGTCCTCTCCCCACTCCCACCTGCAGCCACCTCCCGGGCTCCTTCCATGTCTGGGCCATTCCTTAGCACTGGCTTTGTCTCACTAGCTTCTCGGGATGAGTTTGCTTGTACCGCGGTAACAAGTCAACCCCAGCACTCAGCGACCTCACACTGAGTGGTGGGCGTGAACCTGCGGAGGGTTGAGATTTCATACCAGCAAGCCCACCGTGGTGTGTGGGAGGCTGTGCTCCCCATCATCTTCATTCGAAGACACAGGCGGATGGAGCCTCACCCAGCTGCCATCGTTACGGTGGGAGGAAGGGAGTGTGGCATCAGCTCTTCCGAGCATCCGTCTGGAGGTGCTGCCTGTCACTCCTCCCATCTGATAGGCTGACGCAGTCACATGGCCACACCGGACCCGGGGGCGAGGAGAAGTGTGGAGAGAAGAAAGTGATCCTATAGTGTGCTCAGAAGCAGGAGTAATGGAAACATAGCGAACGAGCCTCATGGCCACCACCCCACATCAGAAGTTCCAAAAGGTCAGGGCCTGTATCTTACCTGACACTTTCTCTTCCCCGAAGTGCCCGGCCGAAGCCTGGGGCAGAGCTGCTGTGTGGGCCAGCCCCCACCTCCAGGCCCAGCAAAGAATCTCCCTCCCCGCTAAGAGGGCTTCTGGTGCCGGAGGCAATCGGGCTGAAGCTCTCAACCGAGCAGAGTTTTGGATAAAAAGTATGAGAGCTGACCTCCCTTAGAGCTCTGCTTTTTGTCACAGACTGCCAATTTCTTTCCCGACGAATGCCCACAGCCCTGCCCCTGCGCCACCCTGACCCCATCCCGGGACTCCAGCCTGGTCTGTCTAGAACCTGGGCCAGTTCCAGCTTGTGCCACATCCAAGGTGTGGTTTGAACGCCCAGAAGACAATACAACAACTTCTCTCTATTGGCTACAGTATGTTGAGCTCTTCTCAGAGGCCAGGCATGGGGTTAAGTGCTTTGACGTATCATTTGATTACTTCTTGTCACAAGCCAGTGAGGACGCTCCTATCATTAAGTTCATTGTACAGATGAGGATATTAACACTCAGAGAAGTTTAAAAACTTACCCAAGGTGCCCCGCTGGTAGACAGGATCTCTGGGCTCTTCCCCACCTGTCTGGCCCCCACCTCGCCTGCCTTGTGACTGGGCCCATGGCTGAAGGGGTGAGGGGTGCCAAAGGTCAATCTTTGGAGCACGTCACCAGCTCCGGTGGGAACTCAGTGTTCTTTGTGGGGGCCGGAGGGCGCAAATAATGATGGAATTTACCACTCAAGGTGGCATGGCGAAGTGTGATTTTTGTTTGATAAGCTTGCGTTTCACGTCTTTAGGAGCAAACGAACAAACCATAAAGTGGCAGTGTGTTTTAATGGACAATTTGGAGTACATTTCAGCCGAGCCTGCACCCAGAGGGAAAGGCTGGGGGTCTCTGCCCGAGGGGAGGAATGAAAGAGGCAGGCACACGGGGAGGGGCAGAACGTTGCTTCCCACCCACTGGCTGCCCAGGTTCCGGAGCTGGGCCATCTGGACAAGTGTGTTTGCTTCTTAGGTCTTAACCTTTTCCTTGCCTGAAAAGTGGGGAGGAGTCAGTCTCATTCCCACACTCTAAATCAGGTGCTACGGTAATGACCCACAACATCTCCACTTGGAAGGCTCATTACGATAAAAATAGTAACAGTGATAACAAGAGCTCACTTATCCTGACACCATGCGCCAAACAGGATGCTAAGAACTTCATATGCATGACCTTTTATGAGGAACGTGAGGCATAGACAGATTGTAAAGTGTGCCCAAGCTCATCCGGTTAGTGCGTGACGGCACTGGGCTAGAGACCCAGTAAGCTTCCCCGGCCGAAGTCTTCACCACCGAATTTCGTGGTGGCATGGTGATGACCATGGTGCCAGAGACCATGTCAGTGATGAAGGTGGTGCGGATGGTGGGGACGATGCTGACAGCCAATGCTCCCAAATTTTGGCTAGGTAGTTGTCCCCGTTCTTAGCTTCTTCTGTAGGTGCGAGCCTCCCTTGGCCACGTGGCTAAGGGTTTAATTTCAGGGGAAAGGTACTAGGTGAGCATGAGCATCCCCCCACCCCGAACAGACCCATTTCCTCCCCAGCGAGCCCAGTGAAGCCACGACCTGGGAGGTTGGCTGGGGGGAGGACCCCTCCCAGGACCCCACTGAGGCATCACCCACCTGCTGCTCCAGCCAGCTCTCTTCCCCCAGCCTGGCACAGCCCCACGTGCTCATCTCATCTGCCCAGCCTGGAATGCACTTGCTGGTCCTCTCCGCCCCTGTAGCCCAGTCATCCCTCAAGGCCCACTTCGAGCATGGGCAGTTGGTCAGTTCTTTCGTTCGTCCGTCTGTTCATTCACTCATATTTGCCGACCATGTGCATTAAGCACCTGCCACATGCCAGGTATGTGTGGTGTGGAGGATGACGAGGGGGTCAGACACAGGTTCCATCCTGTCCCTTCTTAACTGTGTGACTGGGTGAGTCGCCTCCCCGGCCTTCAGTTTTCACATCTGTAGAATGTGGATCTTCGATGACACCGTGTGAAACCGTGGCTCGTGGCTCGTTGTGACCACTAGCCCCTCCCTCTAGGCACCTTCCGTCAGTGATGTTTCCTTCCCTCGCAGGCCCCCTCACACCTCTTCTGCTTCTGTGGCTCTCCCTGGCCCGGCGCTTAAAGGGGGGCATGCTAATTCAGCAGTCAGTCCTGGCCACAGGAAGGTTCTGCCAGCTCCGGGCTGGGCTTCTCGTGACTCCACGGCACTGAGGCCTGGATTAGGTTCAAGGTGAAGGCCTGGCAAAAGCTGGCTCCTTCCCCAGACCGCTGAACCATTTCACCAGACATAGGCCTTCCTGGGTGTCCTTTCCAGAATGGGGGAAAGAATGAGCCAGGCCTGTTGTAGCAAGGGAATACTGGAGCTCTGTCATGGTGAGCAGAACCTCCTTGCTCATCCCGATTTGCCCCTGCAGAGTTTGGAAAGGGGAGAGCCCACCTTGAAAGTTCTGCCCTTGTCCTGGTAGCACTTGGTTCACCCTTAGGGGCCACGCTTGTCCCTGAAAGGGTTGACCTCCCTCATTAGGATACCAGATGAGACGCGCACAGGGGGGCTGTGTAGCTAGACACCACCCAGCCCCGTGCGTGTTGTGTGCCAGGGGTGGGGGTCCACGCAGAGGCCTAGAACGAGCAGTCAGGGCCCTTTGGCCATAACGCCCTAGTGCTGACCACTAGCAGGAGGTTCTAAATGGCCTCAGGCCCTTGGGGGCTAAAAAGGGATTAACCAGACTGGTATTTTTTGTACAAGTCTTCAGATAAATCCAGGAAAAAAATTCAGCAACTCTGGCTCCCCTTAATACACAAACACGGACAACTCCCCAACTCCAGAATTTCTTGAGCAGAAGCGGCTGGAGAGGGACATTGGTCTTGACCTTCCCTGTAGCCACGGGGTGCTCCCTCCCCACTGAATGTATAGCCAGGGTAGCAGTCCAGCCTTCGATCCCCTCCCCTGCCCCACACGGCCAGACGAGCTTTGCAGGAAGGGACCCGCAGACAGTCAGACTGAGTCCTCTTTTCTCCCATGTTGGTCATCATTGTCACTTCCATTTAACAAAGTGGTCACCCACGGCCTAGTCCTTCTAATATGCCCTGTCCTCTTCTCCTCCCCATGTCACACATACAGGATGAAAACACCAGGAGTTAAGAACCTAACAAAAAGCATGCAGGAAAAGGGACAGTGGGGACAAGAAATCAAGACCATGAGGATGTGCGTGCGTCTTCTGAGAATTCCTTCCAAAACAGAGACAAGGAGAGACAGGGCAAAGAGGGAAGGAAGGCAGAAAAAGGAGAGACCGAGACAGGAACAGACCAGGAAAGGGAGAAAGCAGGCTTGCCGGAGCAGCCAGAACCTTCCCAAACAGGCTTTGCTGTTGGGGCAGATGAGATAAACCCTTAGCTTATGAGCAGAGGAGGGGAAGGGTTCAAGGCAGCTCTGGGGCTCCAAGTCAGCAGCCTCATGCCCAGCCTTGGAGGCAGGGGGAGCCGGGGAGGGGGTGGGCAGGCAGAGTCTGTGGCCAGGGCAGCCTCTTGACCCCATTATCAAATCACACACACAAATCACATCCTAACAAATTGTGTGTGCATGTGGCAAGTGGGGAGAGTCCTTTTAACATTGTCTTCTCTCTTCCTCATTCATTGAAAACACTGACGGCTAAAAGGAAGGACTACACACACCCTGCCCTGACTTCCCCCTCCCACCAGGCCTCAGGGTGTTCAACCCAGAGTCCACAAGGCCTGTGTCCCCTGCCTTGGGTCCCATGGGTGGCCCCTACTGTCACCATTGTGTTCCTCATCTTTACCCTTCCATCTGGAACAGCACAGTGAAAATGCTCTGCGGTCTGCAGACTCAGGTGTGATCTCAGGTGTGCATTTGCTCCTTAGCCTCCTTCTCCGTAAAGCGGGCATAATCGTCTCTAGCCTCCGGGACCACTGAATGGACAAAATGAAAGAATGTTGGCAAAACAGCACATGGAGAGTGTCTAACGTTGATGACAAATGCGCCAATCTCCCTACCACCTTGTAAAGGAGGCAGGCGTTACTGTTACCATCATCTGCCCTTTGCTGGGTGCCATGCCAGGAGCTCCTCACTTGGCCAAAGAGCGGCCTCCTCCCCAGGTGGAGCAGGGACCAGGCTGGTCGGCCTGTCCCGTAGGAGAGGCTCGATACAAGGGTGTTGAAGAGCAAAGTCCTTCGAGACCAAGATGTCTGGCTGGGGAGCTCTGGCCTCGGATGCAGCTGCTGGCACGAGCTCCACAGAGCCAGTGAAGATACTCATCTTTAGGCTTTTTGTCTCAGGCCACAGATGCTTTATCCCCATGTCTTTTCAGGAACTTGTCTGTGTCCAGAAGTGAGACCAGGTGGGTCCACACAGGAACGGTCGTCTGGTTTTTCTGTGGTCCTACCACACTAAATCACCTAGAGAATGAAAATGCAGATTTCTGGAACTCAAATTCCCCCACGAACCTGATTTAGCAGGCACGTGTGTGTAGGGGGAGAGAAAGGGATGGACGTCTACATGTCCAGTCTCCTGGGGACTGCTGGGCCAGCCAGGCTTCGGAACCCCCGGGGATCCCCCTGCACCGCCTGGCAGAGTGGTTGCCCCTGTGGGCTCCGATGCCCCACAGCTAGGTTTACATCCCGATTCCTGCCCTCTTAGTAGCTGCGGCACCTTGGCATGTCATCAGCCACCCTGTGCATCAGTTTCTTCATCTGTAAAATGGAGCTAATGATGGTAGTGAGACTAGAGTGTTGTGACAAGGATGAAATGAGTTACTACACCAGAACCTCAGCTTACAAGACATCCTCCAAAGCAGGGTGGGGGGACGGGGTGTCTTTATTTTTGGCTACCTCCTGTGGGTTCCCTGGGATCATGAAGCCAGAGCCTAGGCCTCGCCTGCAGAGGCAAGTCTGGGGCCTCTCTCAGACTCCCCTCTACACACAGATCCCTTCCCCTGGAAGCCCCCAATTCTATGGAGACAACATAAGCCAGATAGACACACAGGAGGGATTTTTTCCAAAACACTAGTGAATGCAAAAGAAGGTTTCTATTTTAAAACTTTAAAACTAAAAAAAAAAAAAAAAAAAAGATTTGTTTTGTTTTGTTTCATTTTAAAACACAAGTCAGAACCCAACACAACCTAGCGATTGCTTGCAGTATCCTGGCCACAGCGAAGGCAGGGAGGCTGGACGCCAAGTCAGGGTGGGCTGCCCACTGCAGTCCCCTTGGTGTGGCCTTGACCTACAGCCACTTCCGTGGCTGAACCAGGAAGTGAGAAGCCTCATCCCATGCTGGTCAGCCACACTGACCATGGCAGAGGCCAGACCCCTTCTAGGCCAAACCAGAGAGAGGGATGTGATTCTCTGGTTAATTTTGTCAGCTAGGAAGCCTCAGCCCAGCTCCAGGAACAAAGAAAGAAATTAGCCTCCATGTGGCCAGCGACCATCATGTGTTTCCTAAAATGTAACATGTTTACTTCTTTGCTCTTCAGTTTAAATGACCAAAGGAAAAGTGATTCCTTTTCCCTGGAATGACTCACTGGAGAGGTGAATGTCAGGGCCCCGAGGGACAGCAAGAGGCTCACTGCAGTTCTGGCTCCTCGCTCCCTGCTGTCAGATCTTCGTGTGTTTTTTCCAATGTCAGAAGGATTTAAGAACATCTAAATCGTCATTAAGACGTGCAGGAATATACCTGAGGCCAGCTTCCTGGCCCCCTGACAATTTCCCTACATTGTGTGGAGTCTGGAGCTCTCTCCTTGGACAGGTCCCAGAAATCTTACCGACTCTGCCCCTCCACACCGGGAATGAGATCTGTTTGCTCTTGAACCGGTCGCGTTCTCTTCTGAGCATGGGCTGCGAGTCTTGCTAAATACATTTGTGTTAACTCTGAAGGTGGAGATCTCCGGAGAGTTTCACATCAACGTCTGCCCTCTGCCCGTTTTCTCCATTTCCTATATTCTGCAAATTACAGACCCACTAATTCACCAGGCTTCTAATTCACTTAATAGATAAGGGGCAGGTATGCAGGTCTCTCTCCAGTCCAGGAAGGGTGGTCAGAAGGGAGGCCCAGCTCTGTGGGAATGCAAACGGTCACAGTACTCTTCCACATGGCCAGACGACCGCGGAGAACAACTGCATTCCCGTTTCCTGAGGTGTCTGCATCTGCCCACACTGACTCATCACATCCTGAAGAACCCTGTGAGGCTGGCATGACGACAGCATCCCATTCTCAGATGGGGAAATGGAGGCCCGGCGGGGCGAGCGACTTGCCCAAGTTTGCAGAGCTAGTAGGTGATAGAGTGATACTTTGCGCCCAGCCTGTTGGCTCAGTAAGCCATAACCCCCTGGGCCTCCTGACCCTGTGCTCTGCTTCCTGTGACAGCTAAGAGCAGGACAGCAGAACCTTGCAAAGCGTAACGCGGATTCTTGCTTATCTTTGCGTGGAGAACGTGCCCCATCTGTGGACCCAATCTGAATATGTTCAGCATAGATTTCGGCCACTGAGACTGCAAAACAGTGGATGTCAACCCTGGCTGTATCTAGGCTTGTGAGCTTTTAAAATTTCCAATGCCCTGGACTGTTCACCAAACCACTGTAATCAGATTCTCTGGAAGAGGGAGCCGGGGATCGATTTTTAAAGCTCTCCAAGTGATTCCTGGGTGCAGTGAGATTAAGAGCTACCACCTAGTACTGAATCAGCAAGAATCTGAGGGTTCTTCATAGGATGTAGCCCCTTCTTAGATTTTAATCACCTGATACCCCTTGCAAATGAACTGGAATACTGCGCTCCTGCAGTAGGAAGAGAAATGTGCCTTGATGCATGCATGGTTTTACCATAAAAAAGCAACCAGAGTGCTTATTTAACCACCAGAGTGCTTATTTAACCACCATGCCCGCTTTTCCACCACCCAAAGGGTTATTTCTGGCAAACATTCTCCAATCTGTGATCAGACGTTACTAAATAATGTTCCCACAGCTACACTTGTTTGATACTCAAGGATGAATGACCCCATGGCAAACTGTGCCTTAAAACTTGCGTGGCTCTGCTGTCCAGTGGCGTAATACCCAGAGACTGGGGACCCACCTGAGCAGGGAGGGCATGGTGATGAGGGACCACTCCCACTTCCTTGGGAACAGTCTAAGTGGGTGAGTGTCTTGGGCCAGCTGCCATATACATGCTTACTGGTGAATGGTGTCATGGAAACAGGTCTTACTTGGTTAAGCTCTTTTTTTTTTTTTTTTTAAGATTTTTGATTTATTTATTTGACAGAGAGATAGAACAAGTAGGCAGAGAGGCAGGCAGGGGGAAAGGGAGAAGCAGGATCTCGCTGAGCAGGGAGCCCGATGCGGGGCTCAATTCCAGGACCCTGGGATCATGACCTGAGCCGAAGGCAGCCGTTTAACCGGCTGAGCCACCCAGGCGCCCCTGGTTAAGCTCTTTTTGGTTAAAAAGATTTTCATGACAAAATTGAGAGGGGGGAAGAAAGATCCATAAACTTTCCATCCTTCCAGGCTTTTCCCCAAAATATATTTTATGGTTGCACTCATTGTATATGGACACTTTCACATCCTGCTTTTTTTAATTATCACTTTGCTACACTACGATCCAAACCTCAATAACCACAAGTTATTTGACCATCCCTATTGCTCGCTACTTGATTACCTCCATCTCTTTGCTATTATAAGCTACACTTTAAGGAATATTGTACACAGGCAGTGTTTTCCTTTTTCTGGTTTATTTGTTTCACATGAATGTATAGGACTAGAATTACTGAGTAGGAACTTTTAAATGACTCTATTACCAAATTGTTTTCCACAAGAGTTATATTACTACATATTGTCATTAATACCAGATACATGGCAGATCTCATAAAATTTCACCAGGATTGTGTATTTTTCATATGTTATTTTTTGGGCAGCTTAATATACAAAATAATGCCATGTTACTATTGTAGTGGACATTTCTTTGATTACTAGCAAGTTCCATTCATTCATGCACGCAGTGATGATTTTATGTATTGGATGCCCATTCTGTGCCAGGCAGTGTTCTAGGCACTGGAGAGACAGCAGTGAACAAAACAAACCCCAATCCCCACCCCTGAGGAAGTCGTCTTCTAGTGAGCTTTTTCCTGTTTGTCTGTACTCTGGCAACTGTGTGACTCACTTAACAGTAGGGGCTGGACATTTGGGCAGGTTCCACGCACACCTTTAATTGGTGCAGCCTTGCACAGCAGAGCTTCTCTGAAAGCCCTGTGTGCAGGTGATAAGGTGAAGACTTGCTTGCGCGACATCCCTCCCGCCCCCTCCACCCCACCCAGCTCCCTGGACCTCCAGCCCTTCTCTCTCTCTGGTACTGGCCGCCCTTCCTGGGTAAATGGAAGGCCGGCAGAGCTGAGGGGAAAGGTGGGCTGGCCAGTGCCCCGGGGCTATATGATATGAAGGGTGCCATATCAGCCCTGCCCATGGTCCAGTGCCCACTCACTGGAAGGCCACCATCTGGGCCACCCCCAAAACAGCGGCAAGTCACAACCCTGCAAATGATGGGAAAGATGCCTGTTTGCAGGGCCACCAAAGGATTAGCCTGTTCAGGGTCGATCTTGCCCGGATACAAGCTGGGGTTTCCTTCATCTCCTAGCCTGAGTGGACTGCTCGTGCTGGTGTCTGGTTCTGAATACTCGGCCATGCTTTCTTTCCAGAAAGTGAAATGAGAAAATATGGATGTGAAAATATCAAGAATATTCTCAGTAACTGAGGTTAATCATTAGAGCCAGTAGGAGGGGTCTCGCTCTCACGTCTGTACTTGGGGTAGTCAGGGGAGCAAGCAAGTGGTTCTGCTTGTGGGCTACCTGCCCGAGAAGCTGGAACTTCAAATCATAGTGGTGTAGACGTACCCGCCAGTTTACTCCCCTGGAGTTCTCAGCTCCTTCAGTGTCTCTTGCTAGCTTTTTTTTTTTTTAAACCTTATAAGAATTCACACACATCTTATACAAAACCTAGAAAATAGGGGTGCCTGGGTGGCTCAGTCGGTTAAGCGTCTGCCTTGGCTCAGGTCATGATCCCAGGGTCCTGGGATCGAGCCCCGCATCAGGCTCCCTGCTCAGCAGGGAGCCTGCTTCTCCCTCTGCCTGCCACTCCCCCTGCTTGGGCTCTCTCCTCTCCCTCCCTCTCTCTCTCTCTCTCACTCTATCTCAAATAAATAAATAAAATCTTTAAAAAAAAAAAAAGACCCTGGCAAATAATATAAACAAGGAGGAGGAAATAAAACACTCAGATAGTCACTGTTGACATTTTGGTGCACATCTTTTAAAGGTAGGTATGTGTGTATGCACCAATGGAGATAAAGAAGTTGGATAGGTAGACGTGGAAAATGGGATCATTGCAGTGTACACGCTAGAAAATGGACTTCTTTTCCACTCAGCATTCTATTGTGAACAAGTTTCCATGTCCTTAAGTGTTCTTCTACAACATTATTTGTCATGGCTGTGTGTTACTCCACAGAATGGGAAACTACAGCATATTAACCAGGCCCCTCCACAGAGCCTTCCTGAGATAAGGACACATGGAAGCTTTATCCACAAGAGACTGGATGAATGAAATCAAAATCATTTAATTTTGTCCCCACATTTCTTGGGACCAAAAAAAAAAAAAAGGTGGTCATGATGATGATGATTACTGGCTACTATCCTTGTTCTTTGCAAGTTCCTAAGTCTCACATTCTATCCGTTCACCATGGAAGCACCAAGTATGTATGTGCCCAAGAATCCTCTTGGATCCGGAGAAGTGGCCTGCTGTGACAGCCTGTCCCACTGGGTACTGCTGCTGTGAGTTTGCTTGTGGTGGGAGATATTTTGTCACCACAGACAAAGGATATTCCTTCCTAATTCTTTTTAAGTAAGCCGGTGCCAGGGCCTGATGATCTCTCTCCTTCAGGAAACAGCATCTCTTATAAGTAAAAATCCTTTTTTTGCCTCTAGCAAAGAACCTGATGCTCCAACATTGTTACAAAGTGTGTGTGCTTTGTTTCAATCTTGCCCCAAATGCCCATATAGAAAGAACACAAGAATTTAGAAAAAGTGAGAAATGAAGTTTGGGTGTTTTGAAAATAACTTCTTTTTTTTTTTTTAAACTTATTTATTTGTGAGAGAGAGAGAGCACAAGCAGGGGGAGTGGCAGGCAGGGGGAGAAGTGGGCTTCCCGTTCAGCGGAGGGTCTGCTTCAGATTCTACCTCCCTTCCCCTCTGCCCCTTCCCGCTCTCTCTCTCTCTCTAACAAGCAAATAAATAAATAAATAAAATCTTAAAAAAATAGGGGCTCCTGGGTGGCTCAGTCTGTTGAGCATCCAGCTCTTGACTTCCACTCAAGTCATGATCTCAGGGTCCTGAGATTGAGCCTGGTGTTTGGGGTCCTCTGCTGGGCATGGAGCCTGCTTTAAGATTCTCTCTCTCCCTCTCTCTCTGCTCCTCCCTACCTCTCAGAATAAATTAATTAATAATAAAATTTGTGACACCATAGTTACCAAATTTTTTTCTTGTGATCATTTCATAATGTGTACAAATATCGAATCATTATGTTGTACACCTGAAACTAATATAGTGTTATATGTCAGTTATACCTCAGTAAAAGAAGAGACCTCTGAGCATTGCCCAGAGGTTGATTCTTAAAATTTAAACTAATAAACAGTGTTTACATTATTTAAAAAATAATAAAGTAAAATAAAATATGACTTTTCAAACAATAAAAGTATTGATAAAATCACACAGCTGAAGATAAATACACTCTCATTTACCTCACCAGTGTTTCCTGTTTTGGTTAACACATTTTAATTGCCTTCTTTGGGATTTCCGCTACAGCTCTTTTACCTTCATGTCTGGACTGAGTGTCGCACACGTTCTGTCCAGAAACCCGGAGCCCAGGGGTTGTAAGCAGAGCCTAGAGTCATTCATCGCCTGTTTGGCACAGATATATGCCCCTTGGAGTAAGAATCCTGACTTGCCCTGAGGGTGAAAAGCACCAACACATGAGAAAGAAAACTCTAGATTTGAGGCCCAGCCCAGAGTAGCCCAATAAGTAAGAATTGTCCCATTGCTGCTAACCCCTGGTTCTGGTTCTGGTTCTGCCTGGGGAGACCTGGGGGGCAGGTGGTTCTGGTTCCACGCACAGAACCTCAAAGCAAGCCTACCTCCCCCTTGAGAGGTCACACCGCTGTCATCTAATTGTGGCCAGGTGTGGAGAGTCCTGTGGGCTTTGGTTAGGTGCTGTCAATGATTTCTGAGACCTGTGGAGGCTAGCCAAGGAGGTGGCCACACCGAAGGGAGGGGCAGCCTTCCAGCACTTTGTACAGAGAACCCATCATCACTTGCTGGGGCTGGCCTGCTCTGTCAAGTGGAGAGAGGCCCTGGTTCCTTGGCTAAAGAGAAGACCGGCCTAACTTTGGCTCTAAGCCAGCTCTAGACCCCCCAGGCTGCTAGAGCCTCAATCCATCTTCCAGCAGAGATCCCTTCTGACACATGGTCGATCGTGGAAAAAAGCATAGCTCCCCGCCCTCCACTTATTTCTTTCAGCATTTACTAAATTTGAGATGTAAATTACATGCAGTAAAATGTACATGCTTATTTATGTATTTCCCCCTTTCCACAACCACCAGCATCAAGATCAAAATCTGGAGCACGTCCATCACCCACCCCCCGATAGAGGGGACCACTATCTGATTTCTATCATCCTAGTTCTCGAACTTTATAAAAATGGAATCATACAGTGTTAGGATTTTCTGTGTCCAGTTTTTTTCACCCAGCGTCATGTTTTTGAGATTATCTAAGTTTGCATGATCACTAGTTTGTTGTTTTTCAGTGCTGAGTAGTTTTCCACTGAACGGCTTTAGCACAACTGGATTGTGTCTCAGTAGACTTTGGATAGATAGGTGGGTTGTGTATTGTTTTTAGCTATCGCAAACAAAGCCTATGAACATTTTGGTGGACATTTGCAGTCACCTATCTTTGATAAACACCTAGGAGTGGAGTTGCTGCATGACTCAGGAAGTGAATGTTTAATTTTACTAGAAAATGCCAAAAATGTTTCCAATGTTACTGTACCATTTTGCATTACTACTAGGAGTGAGAATTCCCCTTCGTCTACATATTTGTCAACACTTGATATAGTCTGTCTTTAGCCATTTGCATGGGTGTTACTTCTTTTGTGGTTTTAACTTACATTTCCCTGATGATAATGGGTCGAGAACATTTTCATGGGCTTATTGGCCATTTAGTTATCCTCTTTTGTGAGGTAGCTGTCCATTAAAAAAAATGTTTTTGCCAAAATAAATTGGCATGGTTTATTACTTTTCTACTGGCAGCAATATGAAAATTGCTAGGAATTATACTTTTGTCCCTTCCAGATTACCTGCATTAAAACCATAATTTTTCAAATTATATCAAACAAAAGATAAGAAACAAAATTCCAGGGCACCTGAGTCACTAGTTGGCTAAGCGTCTGACTCTTGGTTTAGGCTCAGGTTGTGCTCTCAGGGTCGTAATCTCAGGGCTGTGAGATCGAGCCCTGCATGGAGTCGCACATTTGGTTCCATGCTGGGGTGGAGCCTGCTTAAGATTCTCTCTCTCCCACTGTCCTCCCCCCCCGCCTTAAAAAAAAGAAAGAAACAAAGAAACAAAATTAGGTATTAAAATCCTCAAAGCAGTTAGGTATCAAAACTGAAGACAAATTTCTCTTATGAGAAGAAACAAGATATAGTTTAAACAAGACCTAACATTACAAAAAATTAAGTCTTTAACTGGGCAAAAGATCAAAAGTTAATTAGAACAATTTTCAGATACGGAATACCATTTGTGCATTTTTTAGATCCATTACAGTAGTTATATTTCCTACAAAACCAACAGGAATTCTGGGATACAGTGTAAGATAATGGAATTTGGGCAAAGATCTCCTACCCTCACTTACTTAATCTATATTACGTGCATATGTCCAGATGGGGAAGGTTAGGGGTCCACAAGAGGGTCCACAGACTGGCACATCACCAAGTATGCATTGGACCCCAAAGTTCCCTCTTCAGTGGGCTGGGCTTCCCGAGTTTTCTTTACAGCCTTTCTTTTGCCATTTTTGGCTGGTGTTCTGCTACAGTTCTTTATAATCCCCCGAGGAAAGGCAGACCACTGTGGGACTTCTTGACATTTTTAATCTTATGTCATGCTCATTTTTGTTTTTCTCCAGTAGCCCCTGGTTTTGGTCAATCTGTGCCTAAATAGCACTTCATCATATCTTTGGGTTCCTCCTGTGTGGGCTGCCTTTGTTACGCTGTCTTCATTCATCCACCAGTTTCTACTCAGACACAGTGGCCATCAGGTAAACCTGATTTTGTCTCCCTTATGCTTTTAGATTCTTTCTTCTGAGAGCCTCACGAGGCTATCCAGTTGTCTTGATTTTATGTCCCTGAATCAATTAATCTTTCCCTCAATCCACCGGAGGCACACAACCTTCCACCAACAGGAGCACATTTCATAAAGCTGAAAACCAGCTTTCCTATTTCCTGCCTCAACTTCCGACCCATTTCCTGCCTGGCAGTAATGTTGTGGGCTTGTCATAGCTGCATCCAAACTCTGTGAGAATCCGTCGGTCTCTGATCATGTCTCCACTAGGTGGGTAGAATTCAGTAGCACACTTGGGGCAGTGGTTAGTTTTGTGTCAATTTGGTTGGGCCACAGTACCTAAATATCTGCTCCAACCTTATTCTGGATGTTTCTGTAAGGGCGTTTTTAGATAATATTTACATTTTCGTGGGTGGACTTTGAGTATTGCAGATTGCCCTCCATAATGTAGGTGGCCCTTATCCCATCAGTTAAAGGTCTAAGTAGAACAAAAGACACATCTGCCTGGAACAAGAAGGAATTCTGCCAGCGGTCTGCTTGCCTTCTTTCTGGATCTCCAGCCAGGAGATGCCAACCCACCCTACCAGCCTCCGTAAGCACATGAGCCAAATCCTCAAAATAAGTCTCTTCACACGCACGCACGCACGCACGCACCTGCACACACACCCACAATTATTGGTCCTGTGTCTCTGGAGAATCCTGGCAAAAAAATGTCAGGGCAAGTCTGGAGTCCTGAACCACAGAACCTCTGGTTCTTCTCCTGGCTGCCACTTGCAAAGAAAAACGAACCTATGAACTGGCTTTAATTTTTCAAAAATCTTTGTTCCCAAAGTCCTCATCTTCTTGGGATCAACATGGCTGAGGGAACATCATCTCTCCGCCAGTCAGGGGCACCCTCCTCAGGCAGGAGGGCCTTTCCCAAAGCTGGAAGAGCATGATGTAGGGGCATGCAATCAAGACCACTGGTGGTTAAGTGAAGAAATTTCTACATTCTGGATTTGAGTTGTCAGTCAGCTGAATGTGTAGTGAAGAGGTTCTCCCAGTTTTTAGCTGGCCTTTGCTCTTTTGTAATGATGCCTTTTAATAAACAGAAGTCACATTTACCTCTTTTTTATTTATTTTTTTAAGATTTTATTTATCTGACAGAGAGAGATAGAGAGAGAGGGAAACAAGCACAGGGAACTGGAGAGGGAAAAGCAGGCTCCCCGCCGAACAGGGCACCTGATTCGGGGCTCGATCCCAGGACCCTGGGACCATGACCCGAGCCAAAGGCAGATGCCTAACCAACTTAACCACCCAGGCGCCCCAAAGTATTTTGTGTATTTTCTTGGTTTAAAAATATTTTTTATAAGTAATCTCTATACCCAATTGTGGGGCTTGAATTCAAGACCCTGAGATCAAGTGTCATATGCTCTACCGACCGAGCCAGCCAGGCGCCCCCTCACATTTACCTCTTTTTAAATTTCATGGTTACTGCTTTTTTTGTGTCCTGAGAATTCTTTGCCCACCCCCAACATCACAGAGACATTCTCATGTTTTCTTCTAGAAACTAAACTATAAAGTTTTAGTTTTTACACTTAGGTTTATGATCCAACTTGAATTAATTTTAGTGTGTAGTGTGAGGTAGTTGTCAGGATTTTTTTTCCCATATAATATCTAGTTGCTTCAGAAACATTTTTTTAAAGATTTGATTTATTTACTTGAGAGAGAGTGCAAGTGACAGAGAGAGAGAGAGAGAGAGAGAGCACGCGCGCGCATGTGGTCGGGGAGGGGCAGAGGGAGAGGGAGATGCAGACTTCCCACTGAGCAGGGAGCTGACTATGCTCCATCCCAGGACCCTGGGGATCATGACCTGAGCAGACACTTAACCAACTGAGCCACCCAGGCGCCACAGAAATATTTATTGAAAAGAAAAAAGAGGGCGCCTGGGTGGCTCAGTTGGTTAAGCGACTGCCTTCG